GAAAAATGGAACCAAAGATGCGATAACTTTTTTACAATGGGAAAAAGAGCATAACATCACAGCAAAAGACGAAAGACAATAACATCCTATAATTACAAAAAAAAATACACACAAATTATATATTCCAGGTATCAATGCAATCATGGTACATACTAGCCATCACTTGATCAGCTGGAACACAATCTACTCATTTTCAACAAAATTTTTATGAGACAGGTAGAGCCTTGGCAAATTAGTCAAGTATATACCAGTACTTGGCAATAAGCCACAAGGTAGAAAAATTTCCTTAATGAGTTTACTTAGGTAGATAGAGTGATAAATTTGTATAAAATAAATTTGTACATACTCATTATAAAACATCTAATAAACAAGGCGTAAGCCACCCATTATAAAAAAAAAAAAAAAAAAAAAACTCATAGTATAGTACTTAAGTCTTTTATATTAAAATATATTTATAGGAATTTTATACAGTAATAGATAATAAAAATCAAATTATATTTTCAAAGTGTCTATCCATTATTTATTTTTTTTTATAATCACTTAAATTTTTTTCTTTTTGGGAAATTTTATATATTCCAGTTTAAATCCAAATTTTAAATAACACAATTTCATAAAAATATAATTGATAAATATAAAATATATTAGTAATTACATAAATAAATATCTATTGATCACTTCATATGTTTGATAATATTATTGATAATAGAAAAAGTTAATTGATTCTTATTTCCACTTTGTTTCTTCAATTGAATTAATCTATAAATTAAATTTTATAAAACTAATAATATATAAGCAATAAGTCCTTAAGTGATAAAAAATTATTATTTGTTCAAGTCAAAGTCTTTCTCTTTTATTATTTTGATAGACAAAGTTCAAAATAAAAGTTTCTTTCTTATTCTAATTAGATAATAAAATTAAATAGTCTTTAGTTTATAATAAGCTTCAACTCTTTAATTATAGTTGAGAATATATTTCTTCAAAAGTTATTAATGAACATTGTAATTGACAAAGATCTTTAATATTATGATATTCCCCTCCCAATATAAGGCAAAAAAATTATTAGAGAATCTAATTTTTGAATAATAAAAGATATTTACTAATAAATTTTTTTTAATTAAACATGTCTCTAGAAGATGTTATACTGAAACAATATGATTCAATCTATAGAATATCATAAGAATTTGAAATTTATTATAGTCATCTCTTTATTATAGATATATAAAAAATAATTGCTTAAAGAAGATTGGAATCAAATGTGTTACTAAAAATAAAGATTTTTATTAAATAATAAGTCTTCTTAGATGGTATATAAGAAAGAAATTATAATTAAAATAGATAAATTCCTTAAATAGTTAGAAGAAGAAAAAATATCACAATAGAGTATTTCTTATTGAGAAGAAGCAAATCTTTAAAGGAAGTTAAAGAATTTTTTTTTCATTCATTTTCTTAAATTTCATTTGAATATTTTTAAATATCTTACTTTTTCTTTTATTAATCCATTCTTTTATAGTTTTTTATATTTCAGTAATTTGATAGGATATTCAATAGTAACAACTTGTTGATAATAAAATGGTAGACTAGGAGAATATTTATTTAAAGATCATCATAAAGGAAAATATTGTTCTTAAGGTCAAACTTAAAGACTATTATTGCTTATGATGAGTTTGTTGGATTTGATAAAAATGTTTAGCTGTAGTAGATATCATACTGCTCAAGTAAAAAAAAATATATATATATTTTCAATTAATTAATAAACTATGATATTAAAAAAAATAGGTGAATAAAATTTTATAGAATAATTAAAAAAAATTGACAATTTTATTAACAATTTCAAGCTTAAAATATAAAAAAAATTTTTTTATCTTTTTTCAATATATTTTATCATGAATGCTTGGTATATAAGGATTTATTTTTATTTTTATTTTTTTTTTATTATAAAAGCAAGCGTCTATATATGATAAAAGCAGATTATATTCAAAAAAAAAAAAATGCCACATCATTTTTCATATCTTTTAAAAAAATTATATTACTCTTTTTATTTAGATATTTTTTAAAAATAGATTGTTAATTAATAGATTGTTTTTTTTTTTGAAGTCTGTTATCATTTTAATTTTACTAAAGTACAGTATGTCGCCGTTGACTAAAAAAAATTTTTTTGGCTTGGTTTTAAATTTTGCAGAATATGTACGAATACGAAATTCAAACATAATAAAATCGGTTTCGAAAAAATACACGTATTTAAACTCTGGAGAATCTAAAGTTGAATCTTTTTAATATTATTTCCTCGCCGATATGCGTGATTTTGAATGTTCCGCACGTTAATGTTTTGAAACAAAAGGTGCATCGAATTATTGTTTTAAATTGTCATAAAAGTGGCCAGCTCGGAGCTCGAGAGTATCCCACCCACAAATATATTTTATAAACGGTAAGATCCATCGGCGGTGTGGGAATAAAAAAAAAATTACGTAATCACGGTGTACTACTTATTTTCTGCATATCACTATACTGGAAGTTCCCACTCTCTTACCATAATTTATTTATGAGTGTTGGCAAGAAATAGTTCAGGAAAAGAAAATAATTATTTCAAACAAAACATAATAGGAAATATTGTCAATTTCATTTCCTTATCTCTTCGGTCGTGAGGACCATTTAAGAAGGATTTTTTCAGCTCGTATTCATCGAGAATGCCGCAAAAGAGTTTGATGGGGTGAGTGTTGTTCATTCAAATCTCCAAAAATTTGCCTAAATAACTTCTTTCAATTTATTCAATTTATTGCAGTATGGATTTGGACGATGCGGAGCATCATCCCGAAGATTTTGACCAATATGTGGCACTGCTAGATTTTCTGTCGGATCCGATCGCCTGTCCATCGAATAGATTGATGCAAGATAATATTTCTCTCGAAATATTTGTGAATATCTGTTATCACCTGCCACCTCAAGATTTGTTGACGTTGGCATGCGTATGCAAAAACTTCAATAACATGCTCAATGGAAATTTATTCCCAATCTGTTCTGAAATTTGGAAATCATCTCGTGAAAGATTCACTATCTTCAAAGATATGGATCCTCCCCGTGGGATGTCTCAGCAGCAATTTGTTCGTTTACTTAATTTCGAGCGAGGATGTGAGTTTTGCAAGAATAAATCGAACATTCAAATTTACTGGCCGGCCAATGTGAGGGCTTGTAAACCATGCATTCTTGAAAAGGCCAAAACGTAATAGAAATTATTTTTATGATTTTTTATTCTCACTTCTTTATTCAACCTTCTCTTATTTTTTTCAAAAGACAAAATTCTTTATTCAAATTCTTTCTCTTTCTCTCTCTTTTTTTTTTTTTTCAAAAAAAAAAAAAAAACAGTCATCAAGAATTAGAAGAAGAATTTTTTATCGATCGAAGAGTCTTAAATATACTCTCTCATCTCATACCTTGTCCAGATGATAATGGGAGAAGTCATTATTACTACTGGCTGCCTCAAGCCCTTGCTGCTCAATCTGAATTTGACAAGAACTCGGGGATAGCAAGGGAGAAAAAACCCGAACTTCAAAGATTAACCGATGACAGCATTAAACGTTATCGTTGGATAACTCAATGTTGGACGGAACAATTGATCGAACAGAAATCAATTGTTAAGAGGACTATTCAAAATATGGGTTTGAGTGATCCATCATTTCCTAATGATCCTATTATTGAACAAATATTCGAGGATATCAATGTAAATCCGTTTGTTAAATTGGATTTCAAGGCATATGCCGAATCATTGAGGAGTTTAAAGGCGAATGGTTCATTGGACTCTCAACGAATTATCATCAAAAGGTAATTGGTGGTATCCAGGATCCTTTTATCTACTATCGTACGTTACTTGTGAGCTTTTAGTAAAGCCATTATCAATTTGTTTTCCTTTATAGAGAAGAGCGAGACGACACTGATGCAGTAGCCCAACCTAAAGTATCCAATAGATCATCGTCTCAGAAAAGGCATGCGGAATCGTTGAAATATAAATCGTCATCAACGGAAGATACCACTGCACCTAATTCGCATACATCAGAGGTCTATATAAAAACGGAAACAGAACCGGTTGATTTGTTGTCAGGCTCTCGTAGCAATAAATTCCCACCAAGGTTGAGCGTGTCATCATCTGCCCATGCAAGTAGTAGTAAACATCCATCTGCTCATGCAAGTGGTAGTAAACATTCATCTGCTCATGCAAGTAGTAGTAAACATTCATCTGCTCATGCAAGCAGTAGTAAACATTCATCTGCTCACACGGCTATCGGAAAAAAAAATCGACCGTCATCCTTTCCGTTAGATAAGGGTCGGAATGAAATACCAACCGCTCCTGCGAAGCACTTCAATAAGAATAGATTCTCTTTTAATGAAGCATCACCTAGTTTTATGGGTGGTGTCTCAAAGAGTGAATCACTGTTTTCTCCGGTCGAGTATGGTAAAAAGAGTGGATTGTTGTCGTTATCTGCCTTTCCAGTGAGTGGTAGAAGGAAGGGGATAACATTTCCTATAATAGATGAGAGTAAAAAAACCAACTCAAAGATGAGGACACCATCTTTCAAGTATTTCGAATATGCAACTCCAACGGTTAATTCGGAAACAGCGTTGTACTCGAGAAGTGAAATGCGCAAACAACCTACAGCTATCAATATGTCAGCTGCCGCGGTACGCCCAAGGATGAATGTAAATTCCCAGCAACCACCGGGTAAGATAGTTATCGGCTTCATCAAGTTCTGCCCTCTTTAAAATAACCACTGACTTGAATTTATTATAGCCTACCGACCCAATATTCCTGCGCCTCCTCAAGGTTTTTCGAATGCTCTTTACGAAACCCTTTTGAGAAGGGATGAGATAATCAAGGGACTTAAACTAGTTGCAACCACCGATAACCCTTTATCATTGAGCGGACAAAAAAGCTCAGTGCCATTCACCATTAACATTAGAGATCACCTGTTCCAATTCTTATCTCTGTGCAAGGTGTTTATCAATCCGCCAATGTTCAATGGTCGGAACAGTGGGTATGACAGGGAATTCCTGTACGACATCATTCTAAAACTTCAGCAAGAGGCCGCAATACTGAAAACAACCTGCAAGGCTCATCCACCTCCGCACATTCTCGACCTACAAGGTGCCATTTCACGAAATATTTTCAACTTTCCGATATTTAAATGTCGTCAGTGTCGGCATAATAACGTCGCCATTAGACCGCAAGTGTTGAAACGCATAGAAAAACATGTGTCAGACGTCCATAAATCATGGAAAATTAATGAGTACGCATACGTGGATGAAAACTCTGTAGTAAATTACCTTCATTTTGCGTTTCTACCCGAATTGCATCGTCCTATTGTTTAAGGACAAATGATGCATTTCCTCAATTTTATGGATTGAATGGCCAGACGTGATGGGTGGAGGGAGTAACGACGATCATGTTTGGCCTTGTTTTTGATTGATGTATATTAAAAAAAATCAGTTGATTCAAGCTGAAATAAGTTGATTGATAAAAAATAAATTTATTTTTACACATTTCCTCGTGATCTTTATTATTTTGATCTGCAATTTGTTACCATCAAGTTGTAATAAATTTCACAACTAGCAAATTGTACTCATTTGCGCTATCCCAAATTTTGCTATTAATATTAGATTAATATGTAATTCTTTTTACCGATCCATTCTTTCACGAAGTGAGCCAAATTCCTCTCCGCAGACGTGAACAGAGCGTGTTCTCATAATCAAACTCAATTACTAATGCGATGGGTGTTATATAGTGAGGGTGTGATTTCTTTTGACCGTCCAATAAATGTACGTGTAGTAGTTTAAAATAAATATGTACATATTTGAGTCTTTTTTTTTTTAATAAAAAAAAAAAATTGTAAATTAAATGCTAGGATCGGTACTTGAACATCTCCCCTAGATCCACTCGTGATGCGTAGCATTTAGGTGGAAAGAAAAACAAGACCAAGCGTAGAGTAACTCGTAGAGCGACCTGACCCGAACGATATATTATTTATAACACCTAACGTCAAAAAAGACTCATGTGAAAATTTTGCATAAATCTTTTTTTTTTTTTCCTGTTTAATTCGTCGGACAAAATTTGCTGACTCAGTCGGCCCGTAATCAAAGTACTGGAAACGATAACGCAGAAACGGACGATGACCTCGATAAAAAATGATAGAATAATGATCGTCACAAAACGAAGCAGAGATTCGACGATATAACATGACAAAAGTGATTACGGCTACCGACATAATATAGTCAAAAATAATTACAAAGGAAAAGTTGTGATCCAACATTGATGAACTTTTTGTTATAAAATACACCTTGCGAATCTTTAGTTTATCAACTTCTTGTTCTTTTACTGGATTTTTCTCTGTCTCTCTCTCTCTCTCTCTTTTTTTTAATGTAAACAAATCATCCAAGTATTGAAAAGTTATTTATAAGTGTCATCGTGATTTGAGCGCTGCTCTCGTTAATAAAAAAAAAAAAAAAAATGAAGAGGAAGGTTGGCCACATTGTAATTTCTTCTTTGATGATCCCAATATTTAACAATGATCATGAAATTAAACCTATCTTTTCTAGTACAAAGAGGATGGTCGTCAATCCAAAAAATCTAAATCGACTAAACTGACCTCCACCAATTCACCGACCCAATCATCACCATCTTTGTTGTGTCAAATTCCGCCGGAACTCTTCCTTCAAATTTGCAAAAACCTTTCTCCAGCCGATTTACTTTCCTTGACTCGAGTTTGCAAGCTATTTTACAATGATCTCTGTCATAATAATTCTGGAGCGATTCAACAAATATGGCGTGAATCAAGGTTGAAATTCCTGCCGTATCGTAAGCTACCTCCGCCCGATGGAATGAACGAGAGACAATACATGGTCTTCTTGTTGGACAAAGTTTGTCAATTTTGCGGAGAAAGGAAGAATTCAAAGATCCTATGGGACTCTCAGGTCAGATCATGCAAGGATTGCTTCCGGACTCGGTATATCAAGTAAGTCAAGTGAATCTTGGCTTTTTTGAATCATCCCTTAGTTCTTTCTCTCTCACTGCTCATTATAACGTCATCTAAATGGATTAATGAAAGTTGTAATAATATGGCTGTTAACGGAGAGATCCCTTGGATCGTTCTCGATTGCGTCCCATCGGAAAGTTGGAAAACCTGGGACACCATCGTCGACGCGGCCGGACCATTCCGTTGGGTGGAACAGGTTCGTAAAAAATACGAAGAGTACAAAAAAGTACCAGAGGAGGAGCGAGCGTCATGGGTTGAAGATCAACGAAAACGCATCCGGAAAATCAGCAATGAATACATCAAACGAATTGGGGAAGATGTGGACTCTCGACAACATACCAAAACCGTACGGGCGAAAGATATCAATGAGAAAATTTCACAGTTGCTGAATGAAAAGGATGAAGACGGGAATCCGATGTACGAGAAGGAAATTCTCTTGAATTGCGTGTCACTTAAAAAAGCCTATAGATGGACAAACACGTTCACCGAGAGGGCTTGGAAAATCCTGAGGACCAAGTTAATCAAGGAGTACCATGGCGGATTGGAGAAAAGGGGGGAAATCAAAGAAATAGTTAAGACAATGGTTTCAGGTGTAAAAACCGAAAGTTCTAGGAGGAAGGCTTTCGAGTCGGAGGAGGATGATGGCTCTGGGATTATCATTCTTAATGATGAGGTTTAGCGCGAGGTAAGAGATTCCTCAAAGGAAAAAATATTAGTGGATGTCAATTATTTTACTTTATCATTATTATTCATCCCTCATACTTAATTCTATGACGAAACCCTTTTTTAACTTTTTTTTTTTTTTTTTGCAATTGCAATATCGACTTTTTCATTCATCGCGCTGATGCTCAGGTATCATTATCATATTTATAAACGTTGCGGTTACTCTCTCACTTCGTAAATAGCTTTCACCATAAGTCAAGGTTTACTTGTAAAGTGTTTCTCCGAAGCTCCTTGTTACAGGATGCATACATGCCATCTAATCTTTGATCAATCATGTAATAAAAAATAGCCAAACGGCATGCAATAATATTTGATGATTCTTAAAACAACTTATTATTAATTTTAGGCAAATAATGAATCGACAAACTCATATTGTTGTGATAAAGTTTTTTCATCGTTGTAACGTATTATTTTTTTGCCTACTTATAAAGCTCACGTGCAATAACATTGAAATTCGTTATACCATAAGGTACTTACTCAAAGGTGTTTGCGAACAAGTGATAAAGAAAATATGCAGTGCAAAAGGGATGGCAGGTGTGATGATTATTTGAAAAAAAAACAGAATCACGCAATACCATCGAAAATTTATCACAATAAATTTGCGTACTTTAATTTTTTTCTTCTACATTCCCGGCGAGCCTTAAAAAAACTGTCGGAAAGAATTTTTTGCTTGTGAACGTCAAGATGAGAATTATTATTAAATTGTATCACATCGCCGATCTACATACGGTATTATAAATGGATCAATGTTCACCGCGCACGCATTATTCTATCCGCGATAGTTTTACACTCGATGAACAATCTATTCTATGGTCATCGGTGTCAGGCCTTGGGTGGTCTACGATATGGGTTGAGTATGCTTTACAATTTTCGAATGCGTGATGTTGAATTCCACGGGCTCTTTTTCAATAACAATACGCGCGGTTTTACGGCGGCGATGAGACCCAAATTATCCGAACTCTTGGTCAATATCAATAGAAATATCGACCTTTTGTCCCGCGCAAAAGATTGGAAAGCGCTGAGAAGAGATTGGGAGGACATTCAAAAGGTTACAGGTATAATGGAAGCCAGCGTTTGTCAACTGGAGTTGTCTTTGCTGATTGAAAATTAGCACATATTTAGAGAAGCCAGGAGACATTTGGAATGATCCACCGGCAGCAGCCAAATTGCAAAAACGCTCCGCGCGACTTCTAAATGAGATGGAAACTTATGAAAAGTTGACGAAGAAGGCGATGGAAGTTAAGGAGCTGACTAGTAAGTTGATCAAATTTTTATAATTCGAAAAATTGTCACTATTGAATTGTATTTTTTATTTCTTTTTTTATTGGTTTATTTATTTTCTGCTTTCAATCTAATCATTCGCAGAATTAGCGCAAGAAGAAAATGATCAGGACTTGTTTGAGGAGATCTCGAGTGACGCATATTCCTTGGACCATGAATTGCGAAATTTTACCCTGACATCACTGATGTAAGCGTCCATCGCAAGAAGCGAGGTTAAAACTTCATCATGCCAATAATACCACACGTTTCTACTTTTTTTCATAGGAACGAGGACGCCGATCAAAATGGATGTATCATCCAAATCACACCTGGGGCTGGTGGCGTAGACAGCGGTGATTGGGCAGACATGCTATTTAGAATGTACGAAAAATGGGGCGCGAAGAGTGGTTTTCAAGGTATGCATACGGAGATAGAGATAGACCATTTATTCCATTGCCTTATATATTTTATGAATGTCAACAGTTTTTCGTTTTGATTTGATCATTCTCAACAGTCAGAACATTGGATTATGTAAGTGATGAAGTTGCAGGATGCAAGTCGGCTTCCTTAAAAATTGATGGCGATTATGCTTACGGTTGGTCAAAACATGAGTCTGGGATTCATCGTTTAGTTAGAATCTCACCTTTTGATGCGCAGGTAGTCCACGGGTTTCTTGATCTGATCTGTTACTCTCAATTTAATATCAACATCTCTTTGATTCAATGTGTAGGGTAGAAGGCATACATCGTTTGCCTCTGTAGTAGTTCTTCCATCAGTTGACGATGACACGGACGACCGTGCAACAATGGATATCCATAGTTCTGATCTTAAGATAGACACATTTCGATCCAGCGGGGCTGGCGGGCAACATGTGAGTATGTCGAATGATACTAAATTCCTTTTCTACCCTTGCAACCCTCGCATAAATTTATTCGAACGGAACGCAGGTGAATGTGACTGCAAGTGCCGTTAGAATTACACATATCCCTACCAAGATAGTGGTGCAGGTCAAGTATCAAGTTAACTCAGATATTTTGTATTTTCTTCCACCACCCGTTTGATGGACTCAATTAGTTGTTTTCTCCACGCAGTGCCAGAATGAAAGATCACAGCACTCGAACAAGTCGACTGCGATGGAAATGCTTCGGGCTAGGCTCTATGATAAGATGCTGAAAGAAAGGTAATTTACTGTAGGATATTATTTTAGCTTTGTCGACATTACCGGGGATACTCTTCTTGTTCCATCAAAAATTCGCACCTTAATCGCCACACATTAGAAACGCGGCGAAACATGATATGTACTCGGCGTTGCCAAAAAATTCGTGGGGATCACAAATCAGGTCTTACATATTGTATCCTTATCAGGTAGTGTTGTTTGAATTGGCTGATTGAATTCTCTACCGACAGATCTCACGGTTTGTGCCTAAATTGTTTCGTTTCAAATGACTCTCAGTTAATCAAGGATCTAAGAACCGGATATGAAATTTCGAACGTCGATTCTGTATTGAACAACGGCGAATTAGATGAGTATGTAGATTATCAAGATAAAAAATTTCAGAATCTTTGATGATCGCGAAAATTTGTCAATTTCAGATTTTTGGAAGCCTCTTTGATTCATTTCAGAAAAGCATCAATCTGAAACCTTGTTGAGGGAAACAGGATATGATTTCATCATTTGATTCATTTGAATCTTAAAAAACAGATGCATATATTAATATGTCGATATCCATTCTACATTAGGTCTACATGATTATATATGTCTCCAATATCTATTTCATCCTTTGTCTAATTAATTGATACATTCCTTCTATATGCACGTGTGAATACATGCGCGCATGTAACAAAAAAAAATGATAATGAAATAATTATCCTTCCGGTCTTTCAAAATATCTATAAAAAAATTTGCAAGGGAATTAAAATTACAATGGTTCGCGTGAATTGTGGTATTATACAATGAATTGAAAAGAAATACAAAGCTGGTTTGGTCTAAATTTACGTTGTCGACTTTGTACAATCATAGAATGATGATAACCAGGAGAAAAAAAAAATAATAAACAAAAATAAATAAGCAAAAATATAAAATCATCGAAGCAATTCGACGAGGTTATGTTGCAACTTAAATTCTTGTTCCCATCTGTTAATTAAGAAAATCAAGAACGTCAGTAAATCTCAAACATGTATTCACACTTGACAATGGTGCACGCCCTATCAGCATACATACCTAAAATACGAAGCATTCTTCTTGCGAAACTCTACATCCAGTGTCACTGGACCAAATTGGCCACTTGCTTGTTCCCACTTCCAATTTCCGTATTTAACATCTCGCTGCATCTTCCTTCCATACTCATCGATGACATCCACGAAGAACCGAGAGTCTTCGTAGCTCTGCCACCTCAGGTACTCCAAATTTGCTTTGCAGTCCTTGAAAAATTCTCTCAACGTTCCTGGCGTCACCCAACAGTTCGGTATGTTCAACACCAAATGTTGCACTTGCTCCGACAGAATTTGTGCCACACGTGGCAAAAACTCATTCGCATCTAAATATTGACTCACCAACTCCATGGTTAAGCCAAAACTTTCGGCAAAGAATTTCTGATTTTCGGCGATGGACACGGATCTTAGGTTTTTACATGTTTTCAGGATGCCGAGCACCAGAGGGAGCTCATCGAGTGTTTGGATTTGCATAGAGATTTTCCGTAATTGCTGACTATTGACCAACGACTCAAATATTTCTGGACATGGATATCCCAGACCCTCGATGCATAGCTGGGTGAGGGTGGATCTTGTGTTTGCCACAAGATGAGCCAGTTCGTGGATGGGCAAATCTTTCGATTCAAGTTGTCCTCGAAATTTAAAATAGACGGTGGATAACCGAGGAAACGAGGCTGTGGCCAGAGGGGCCAAAACCGCTTTCGTCATATTCCCGCAATCGTGAAATATGATTCTCTCCAGGTGTCTACACGAGGACAACGCTCGCAGCGTCACGCCCTTAAACAGACAACCCCAAAGTTCGATTGACCTCAAGCTTGCACCTTGGGTACTTATGGCCTTCACTGTGTCCTCTGTCAAGTCCACGTGAAGTACTTGTAGGTTTCGCAAATGTCGCTGTGCCTTTATCAAATTGTCAAATTCACCTCCGGAATTATAGACGATTCTGAACGACTCTAGATTATGACAAAATTTTGACAGTATATCACAAAATTGCTTTCCTTCGCCGCCACTGCTAAATTGACGCATCTTGCTCAGCGCAACCCGACCGTCGGTGTAATGATCCAACGCCAGATATTTACTTGGATTCTCGCGCAAACAGAAATCACGCTCCTGCATTGCCAAATTCAAGCTACGAATACTTGTGGATCTTCTCAGGAACAGTTTGAATAGTTCGCGAACAAATTGTTGGGTCTGACGAGTAAACGAGGTCCATTCGACGTCCGTGTACGGACCCCGTTTGGATTTTGCCTCGTTACTCGCGGACTGTGCATCTAGAATGTACGATCTGATACCACAACACATGTAGTAAATCGAAATCTCTCTTATGAACGAAGGGTAATCAAAGAGAGGAGGAGAGTCTCTTGCGATATCTTCTATGCCTATATTAGCGCAAGAGTCGGGTGGGAAGAAGGAAATATAGGTGCGCAATAGTTTTCGTGAGTAGGAAAGGTGAAAGGGTTTTGCCCACAACACTTTGACCGCCTGTTGGCACCACTCGCGGTTCACCAACAAACAAGCAAACAAACTATTCTTGTCACCGTCTAACTCTAGTAAGATATTCTCTAGAATATCACCGAGTATATGTCTGGGCATCTCTACACGCCGTACATCGGAATGTCCACGATAGTACAGCTCTTGGTAGATGGTTTTTATTTGCATGACTCGGACGGTCAATGTGCTGTATAGTTGAAAGGTGTTGCAGTACCTTTGCACGTTGCATCTTAGAAAATCACTTATTCCTTCAATGAGCATGGGTTGTTGCCTTTTATAGGAATCGAGAATTTATGTGTTAGTGATACCGTTTTGTTATGTTGTCAAGTAATGTCGTCCCGGTGTAGTGCTCTTTCTTTTATACATTTTTTTTTCTGCAACGGGAATCGCCGTGAAAACCTTGGTCATCCCACGACGACGATACCTTAAAATCAAACAGATATGTCAGGCGAGATGTCGGATGAACGCATGTAAATGTAAAAGATCCATGAAAATGGAGCATCCCCGCTTTTAATTCGGAAAAAGATAAAAAAATTTTTTTTTTTTCTAGCTACGTATACACATATTTATTTTACCGGATAACCGAGGGTTTTTCAAGTGCGTAAAGGTGATGTCAACCCGGCACGGGAATAAACATATATATATCGTGCGATACATGAAAGAGAATGAAATGAGTCACGTACGTACTACGGCATATTCTTACATATTGGTACGCAAGGATGGGATAGGATGAAAGTAGGGTGGTTCCCATATTTACATAAATGTCTTAAATATATTGTGTAAGAAGCAAAGCGTCCGTGCGGCGCTCCCGCATATTCGTTTCACCATATGGCATCCTCCAATCCAATCCAATTGATCAAATGACCAAAAATATTTATATAATCATTTTTAAAAAGAATTTTTTTCGGAGCATCTATTCAAATGAAAAATTACTATCTAGTATTAATTATATAATAAATTAATTATTCTAACTCTGGTTCGAATATATTTTTGCGTATTATTAAATTATTGATAATAATTGGTTGGGTTACCTAACCGATAAAGGCAATTAAGCTCGCCTATATTGACGGTTCTAAAAAAAAAAAAAAAAAATCATCTTCCCCGCGCCTGATTCACTCAGGTGTTGTTGACGCGAAACAGTTTTTTAGATCGCTCGGGATTATAAAATTGATCCTTGATAGGAAACAAGAGCACGTTCAGTCCCGGAGTGATGACGACACAGGTGTTGGTCGGAATCGTCAGCCAATCCGCTTTTTCAAATGTCAATGGTTCTAGATGAAAGCATGGTACGGTGAACGGATTTTGCTCTGTTAATATTCTAAATTCGAAAAAAGCCAGTTGGTTCATTCGCGCATAAATTAGATACCTGATGCGACAAGAACAATATCTTCGCGTTTATCGGCTTTGATCTGTTTATCAGGTGTGAATTGGAATTATTTGTTAACGGGTTGGATCTTGCCAACAAGACGATCGATGGCATCACAATCTTACCATTCTATAATGTCCAGGCTTATATTCCGTAAAGCTGGTACCTACACACATTTCGACGGTAGATTATTGTTAGCATGTCAACAAGTAGTCAACTATCAAAGAAAAATTGATCCTTTTAATCTCTCCTTTCGACCAGAAGGTTCACAAACAACTCAACCCACCCGAAGAAAAATACAAAGATGCCGCCTCTTTACTCTCACTGTTAATATATCTGGTGCAAACCACCGACTGTCCATCTGTCACGGCAAAATTAAGAAGGGAAGTCTAAAATAAACAAATTAAAAAATAGACACAGATCGTAAATAACATTCGTTAAATAGATAAATGAATAAATAATGTTATATTTTGGACTGAGCATAGGGAATAATGATGCACCTCTTCGATTCCCTCATCTCTCGACAAAGCATTCAGGTGTTCAATGGTCTCCAACATTGCGGCCTGTAGAGTCCTGTAACTAAATCGACCATTTTCCAGATCCTCGATCTAATGATACGACTGATAAGCACCTTCCTTCATCCTCTTCTCCAATAATCGGAAATGATGAATCCGCTTACCTTACTGAGAAACAGAGCGAATGCCCATTCGGAGTCTGTATTCCCTTGAACGTGCGAGAATATTTCATCACTTAGGTGCTGCTGTAATTTTCTCTTGATCTGGATTATGAATTGAAGTGAACCCGATCAACTACCGGTTCGAAAACTTCTCCAACACCAACACCACCATCACCTGTATAACTTGGAAACCGACCTTGTTGAAATTTGCGATATGGCCATTGTGCATCCACATCAGCTTACCATATTGCCACGGGTGACCTGATTCAAATTTGAAGAAAAATCAAGAAAAGAATAGGGATAGAATAAAATAATCCTTGAAATAAAATTGGTTCCATCTTACAATTTGTTTCCGACAGAACGCCCGAAGTCGAAGCTCGAACATGAGCAAATACCAATGAACTTTCAATCTTTTCCGCAAGTCTCGATAGATTTTGATTGTTCCACGCGGGTGTCACAGAAGTAAAGATACAGGGAGCTGTTATCTCGTCAGGATCTTGATTGAATTCATACCAGCCTATTCAATGAAAATGCTGAGGAATGATAGCACAAAGGGTGAGATGGAAAAATGGTTGAGAAACGCGCGGCTTTACCTACACCAAATCCGTCGCCTATTACGAGAGATCAACATTAGAAAGGTTTCAACAAAAGAACAAGGATGCTTCCCCGTGAAATACCATTAATCTGGCCGGTGTCCAAACGAAGTCTCGAATCATAAGATTGTTTTATAATAGAATGAGCTGGACGCGTGAGAAGCTGTTGTTCGTGCGACATGTGGTTAATTCTTTTTTTGATGCAATACATTGAGACTTTCTGAAAGGGTGCAACATACGTGAGCCAAGTGTATTGGGGCTTTCCCTTTGTAAACTATGAATCGGCACATTTCATATTTCTTGGAAACTTTGTTATCTGTCGATATATCATCGACGATGTACTAAAGATGGTTAACGTGATCGACAACCAATCAATCACGTGCAAAAAGCATAATTTACACAATGGCATTTATTGCGTGATCCTCAACCTTTTTTTTTTGTTGCGAGAATGAATAATAGTAGAGACGAAAATAACAGCGACCAATCCACGGCAGGTCGATCCTACAATAAGCAAAAGTCGCACGTAAAGAGAAAAGTTCGACGTTCAATAAATCTCAATGCTCGATCTCACTCGACTCAAATTGGTCAATCAACTTCCTCACGTCAAACTTCGTCACCAAGCTTGTCCCTAGCGTCCTCGAGATCGCATTTCACGCCGCGCATCATTCATTTGTGGATAAAAAATCTGGAGTCCATTGCGTATCTGACGCACGAACTAAATGAAAGGCTTAATTCCGACTTTGTTTCTTCGGAGTGGGTTCAGCACCGGGAGGAGATGAAGAAGTAAGTTTGTTATTACGATCGAGTTTAGGATCGGTTTCATCTATGCCTTGTTCAGTCGGACAACTGCTTCACGTTTACAAATCGTCTAACGTGCCAACGTTCATGCTTTAAGAGCGAATCCTATGTCCGCACATTCGAAATTCAAAGACCGTGAGGTGCTCTTGATCACAAGTTACCTGAACGATTGCGAATTCTCTATCGAACTAGTTCAAGCCCTCGTAAGTATTCATCGCAAGTGCACAACGTGTGTACATAAATCATTGACAGAGAAATTTTCCAAATAACAAGAGCGCAATCGCGTTTAGGCCGCCAGTGCGTGTGAAAGGATTGTGGGATTCGCTCTCCGTAAGTCTTCCATTTCTTGTTACTCGACGCGAATCTACTTACGCGCGCATGCACGCACACACATATGTACTATTGTTATTTTACCATCTTCTACACTCCGCATGTAGAAGAATGAAAGCTTAACAAAATCCCATAAAAAAAATGTGAATCGAAATTTAGGGTCTCTTGGAAACCTCCCATCGCGGGAAAAAAACATGCTGCAGCAAGCTTACGAGACCATTACCAAGTTAGAAGAGAGATATACCGGATTTGATCCGCAATACGAAGAATTGTGGGACGCGAATGTTAAAGTCGAGGTAGACGCGTCACCATATTCCGTATTTAATGATGTGGACAACGAGAAATTGCCCGTTTTGGAGGCAAGGCAAATTGATGTTATATTTTTTGCTATTGTCGCGGTGGATTTCACGCAACGAAAATAATAATAATAATAATAATAATAATAATAAAATTTCAACAGTTCACCTTCGAGAATCTAATACATTGGGATGTTGATGAACCTGATGAGGATTATAATTATGGATGCACTTGTGAAGATAATTGTAAGGTAACGGTAGCAACAGCACAGCTTGGTAGACGTGATCAGGTTCATCAGGTTCAACACTTGACATCATACTCCCTTATTAGAATGTGGATGAGTGTACTTGCGTTCAGCACATAGGAGGTATCCAAAAGTTTCTTTCACCTTGATCCCTCACCGATACTTACCATCGAGCAAACTTCCAATCGTTAACCTCTCGCTTCGTCAAAGTTGACTATCACCCGTTCAATAAAAATGGAAAGTTGACAAGAACCGACATAGGTGCAATATATGAATGTAACTCGTTTTGCGGGTGCAACTTCACTTGTCCAAACAGGGTCATACAGAATAGCAACAATTGCAATAAAAACTTGCAGGTGAAAATTATTAGGAATCACGAGGCGCACACATACGACCAGGGAAAATACTAATCGTTCGTGTTGTCATTCCGCAGATTTTCAAAACCGAGAATAAGGGATGGGGTGTGAGAACATTGAAACCAATCAAAGAAGGTTCATTCGTCATGGAGCACCTGGGAGAAATAATAAATTATCGTACGTCCGTCATAAGATCCGTTTGTTACGACATGTTGGATATGATGACATTTTTTGATTTCGATTATGGATTTGACAATGAGCACAACAAGAAGAATAGAAATAAAATACTCTGGTGAATATAAAATGTCTTTCCATTGGAATATTTGAATTGCGAGCGATTGCCTCAACTCCAATCTACTTTTCCTGATATCATTATAGCTCAGACACAAACTATTGGTGTAACATCAGTAGATTCTTGAATCACTCCTGTGATGCAAACCTAGTTACCATTCCGGTGAGTGGCTATAACGGTTGATGGTTGAACCACAATCGGTGTCATGGTATTGGTGGAATAATGATGAGATATTATTCTCTAGTTTTTCGTAGATAGCAAGGATCTACGATTTCAACGGCTCGCCTTTTTCGCCCAGCGGGATATACCCAAGTATGAAGAGATTACGGTCGATTATAAAATTCACGACGAGGATTTCGTGTGCTATTGTGAAACAAAATTTTGTAGGTAATGTAATTGATTTATATTCGCGATTTCGGTTTCGTTCTTAACGCGCGGTTCATGTCGGCGCCTAACTTCTAACGACCTTGGTCTAAACATTAGGTTCAAGAAAAGGCGGTGATCGCTGTGCAAATTCGTTGGATCACATTGCACCGTTTCAACTCCCGTTTAAATTAAATTATTTGTATTTAATGTGTAATTTTTTCCTATTCGTGTATCATCAACAACTATTTAAACGTTTCGTTCGTGACGTATTATACTGCACGCAATCCAGCGGTGACAGATAGAATTCACTCATCCGCCATCAGTTTATCAATTGAAAAGAAGATGGCGTTGGAGATCTCCTGATGCGAAGCGAGCTCGTTCCGACTCTTTCCAAGATGCGTTCGTTGATATAGACCTTACCGTTTAAGCTGCTTGCATTTTACGAATGGTGCAAAATGTATTTAATAAACGATTATCTGTATGTTAAATTGAACACTTGAGGTCGTAAGATAAATAAATAAACAAGTAAAGGTTTACAGCTAGTTCAATTGAATTGATGAAGAAGAACTACGTATTTTTTTTTGGCAAACACTGTACTGTGGAATGCATTACATATTCCTTCTACATGCCGACATGACCGTGAAAATTACCGTCTTCTGACACCGTAAAATCGGGCCTTCATCAATTCCTCTATCCACTCAACATTTTCATACAGCATGATCCTCTCAACCCTTCCAGACTTCTTCACCTCCTTCCAATGCTTATACACATAATTCAATGCCGCCTCCTTCAACTCCGTATTCGCAGTTTCCCATCCTGTCATCAGCAGCTCGTCCCAAGTATTCTCATTCACCATATCAATTAGACGTGTTGTCAACGCCTTCACCAGGTCACCGACTTCACTGGCCCTCGCTTTACGATATAAGTCCTGCGTCACCTCCAGAGACAATGATTCCGGTAGATTTCTGGTATACAGGTAATGGACGATCATTCTGAATAATTCGTAAGGGGTATCGTCAACTGGAATTGTGGACGAAGGCGAATCTTTCCATTGAACCGTGAACATCTGATCAAAATATTTCGACCTGGATGCGAGCACGATCCGGGAGGCTTTAAGTTGGCGCCCACACCCGAAGGCGAAGGTAATGTCGCTGAAAGTTCCTTCGTGAAAATACTTCTCTAACGATGACAGCTCATCCCCGTGATCCCGGTCTCTGAGTGGCTGATCGTCGACGGCACCCTTTGGAATGTCATTAAATTGCACGCGAATAACTAAATCGGTTTTCCGAGTCTTTTCATTGTTTGGAAAGATTTGTTCCAGCTTGCAGAAATTTCGAACACCCCGATCCCGTAGGACGTCAAGGTTAAAATCGTGTGTGATGCATTTTGGGTCACATTCTAATCTCGTCAGTACGTATGACCTCCTCTTCTCCTCGCTGTCAAGACGAAAGAGGTCAAACTGGTAACTCGAAGTTCTCGATGTTAGGCCACGTTGAATTTCGACCTTTGTCCGGATGGGGTTGAGGTACAAGGAGACATGCGTGTTTTCCAAAAAACCGTGAGGATAAAATTTTAAATTCCAGGTAAAATAATTGAGTGTTGGTGCGTGGTCCGGGTGGGAGGCGGGAAGGGAGGCGGGGGAGGCAAATATTTCACTGTACACCGACTCCCCCTGCTTCGTCTTTGCATAGAGATCTTGAAAGTCTCGGATGGTCCAGGAATAGGTGAACGGTAAATTATTTCGTGGAATGTCAACGAGCTTTGAGAGGTCTCCGTTAAAAACGTTTTCAGCCATCTCCCCCGATGACAAGGATGGAACGGATGGGCGCTGACCTTTTATACCCGTCGATGAGACGTACGCGAAGTCTATGAGTCTCGATAAACTTGCGAATTGAACGCCAGGCCATTAATATATCTCGATGTGAAGGATGCGTGTGATTGTGTATTTTGACTTTGCGAAAAAAAAAAAAAAACAGTTTATCAATCTTCGAATGGTTATTTGAAAACGTTAAGCATTGAGAACAGCATGTGATTCGATCCATGTGCAATTCAATAAAAAGCAATTATTTTATTTGATGAATTGATGTATATTAGTACGTAGTAACAATAATTATCATTGTTCATATAACACAGAATGCTTTTTCAACAGGGTTACATGTCGTGAGTTCACTTGTTTATTATTTATTTAAATGTAAAATTACAAATTAACGAGGGAAGGTGATGATGATGCCAAAAAATTGTCCGTTACTACCGTATTCGCAACACCGAAAGCTAATCAATCGTCCTTACGTTTGAACACTATCACCGTGATGATTTTTTCATCGTTCACATTTTCTCCTCCACACCTCCAACACTCCGGTCCATAATTTGCACACTCGCACTTTGTGGAATCATAATACGAGGAGTCCCTTGTGTACCTCGAAGAGTTGATTCCATCAACAGGGATTGTCGTGATGGTGACGAATTCGTATTCCGGGGTCATCGGATTCTTATCCGAATTATTTTCTCGTTCGTCCCTCCTCTTCCATTCTTCACCGCCACCATTATTCAGTATTATTGGTATTTCACCGTCGTAGAGATATTTACTCGAGTCGAAATTGTTGTCCAGTGGTATGTGTGGCTTTATCTGTGGCGATCTAATACGAAGGGGCGGGGCGTTCACGCTACTTGATTGAGGATTTGAGCACATTGACCCAAAGCCATCTTGAATATTATCATCTCGGGTATTTGGATCATGGTAGATGATAGGAACCTCAACCGAAGTAGATGAGACCGATGCGTCATCATCGTCGTCGGCATCATCGTTAACGACTGACAAGAATTTGGTTGGGATAGGCGAAAGGTATCTCGGCGCTGTTTTATCGTTGATATCATCGTTGTTACCCGCCTCGGTGACACTGTTGTCATGAATACACTGCGCACAAAGGAAATTTGACATGTCATTCTTGTTACCGGTGAATCGAGACCAATCATTTTTATCACTTGCTAACTGGTTCGTATCCATGAAATTCGGAATTGGTATGATCTTGAATTTGGGAGCACTCTGGTGTTCCTGAATTCTACGGATGATGATGGTTTGCAAAGGTTTGATCTCGTAAAATTTTGCTTCGACCTCGAGTCTTCTCAACACCGAGAGAGGTAACTTTGGGAGTGTGGAGGTACGTAAGAAGTCCAAGATGTGAACAAAGATCACACCATCCCGGTCGATGAAGAGTTCCTCGGGCCAGGGAATTTGCGGGTGACGAGAAGCCAGCTTCTTGGGATATCCATGGTAATTGTTGTTGTTGAAAGTGGGAATGGTCGCGTTCGGGGACTTGAAAAGAAAGAAAAGTTCGGAGAGATAGGAAGGATAACTGCATAGCGTTTGTTGCGTGGTGACGTAGAGAATTCCACCGACATTAAGTTTTATGGGCACCGGGTAATTAGGGCTGCGTTATCGAGGAAAGGTGCATGCATCAGAAACCAATTCAACAAATAAAATAAAATGCACCCATCCCATCCATACACATACAGTATCATACCTTGATGAAGTTGATATACTCTGAAAAATTTTTGAATTCCTGAAGAGATTATTTAAAGTGGTAGGGATTTTCTTGTTATGTCTCGAAGGCGAAGTTGTGGTGGTTGCGGTGGTGACAGTGGTGGTGGCATTGGTGTCGGTTCGTTCTCGAATCTTCTGATGGTTACTTTCATTTGCTGACGCTTTGTTGGCGGCGGGTGAAGAGGGAGGCGAGGCATTTGCGGATGAACCGGATTGACCGCTTTTCGTACCCCGGTCATCTTCCTTTTGTTGTTCGACGCTGTTCCGACGAAATTGTCTCTTGCTGCGCGTCGAAAACTTGAATTTGCGAAACTGTCTAAACAAATTTCTGAATTTTTTTTTTGACTCTGTCGATGTAGACGCTGACATTTTCTTCTTCTTCTTTTTTTTTTTTTCCTTTAACTTGCGAGTTTGTACAAATGAGAGAATGAAAAGTATGATGTGTTCAATGCTATGTGTTCCGAGATTTTCAAAGGAAATTTTGGAACTTTTTATATCCTAGCCTGCCTGGTTTTGGGTATTTTGGTTTGTTTTTTTTTTTTCTTTTTTTTTATGGTTGCCTTAATCTATGACACTCTTTTTTTTTCAACAATTCTAACGTTTGAATTTACGATTATGCTTTGTGTATGCTTTGCGTTTGAAATTTTTTGCTTTATTGTGTTTGACGTGAAATGATGAAACGAAAAAAAAAATTCTACGAGTCGAGTTACACTTTGTGTCCTTCAACCTATCACGTAGATATATAGCCTGTATATAACCACGGTTTTTGTATCAAAGTCTTCTTTATTAACAAGATTTTTCGACCCGCATTCTTTTGGTTGGAAGTGAGATTACAGTTCACGTACTTACATACGCACCGTACATATGTATTTTTTTTTTTTTTTCTTTTGAAACATTTTACTGTATGTTAGCGTTGTTTTATGCGGTCGATTCAATAAAGGCAATAAAAATTAAATATTTGCAACAATAGAAAAAAAAAGGGGAAACGATGGAAATGGGAATAAACCTTATTTCATACAAAGAATATCTCGCATATACTGTACACTTATCTTTGGTTATAAACAATGGAATACAATTGACAAATGGACGAACGCCCATTAATTACCGGACACAAAAATAATTTGACAGATCTTCCGAATAAAGAAGTCAATGACCGCCCACAAGGGATCTCCCTGACGACCAAATAAAGGCGAGAAAAAGTTGTTGAACGGACGCTGCTAATACATTATATCCAACACTTATGTGATCCTAAACGCGTTAAGGAGAAACGACGACGCAAGCGCATACCCTTCCGAGTCACGAGCAAACTTCTCGGTTTTATTGCAGATAATCATAATTCTGGATCGCACGTATTGTACGTGCAGTATACGTAAATGCATACGCATGATCGACTGGGACGTTTGTGCCGTTGGAATTTGGAAAACCGAGAAATCCGTGTGCTCTCAAACATTAATTCTTCCCGTCCAAGTAGCGAAACGTGAACGGAAGCATTTTCCCAACGGATTAGAATGACAGATGGATTATACTGGAAGTGGAAGTGAATTCGTATACTGTACATATTGTGCTTAACCCTTGGTAAGAAAGACTTTAATGGATGTCTTATTGAAACGTAACGCTGCTTTAATCAAACAATTATGTAAGCGTGGTGCAAAAAATTAATTAATAAAAGAACTTTTTTTTGCTACTATTGTTTATCTAAATATATATAGTGCATATATATATATATAGTATGGTGAAATTAAAGAATTTACTTGATTAAAGTTGAGTTGTTTATTATTTTTTAATCACATAATATACCATATACGGTATTATAAGGTGTATATTGTCATGTTTGTTTTTGTATTGGATTTCTAAGGTTTGAATTCACTTGTTACAATTTCAATTTTTAATTATTGTATTCGTAGCCTTTTATTTTTGCTCACATACAATAATGGATATTCATCTTTCTTATAATTGAATCCAATAGCTTTCAATTCTTTAAATAAGTTACGTATTAAATTATTTATGTACCAATTTTTAATTTTAAGGTTTTAAACGAATAAATTTAAGAATTAAATCAGTAAAAAAAAAAAGATCTTTTTTTGAAATTAAAATAATATCATGAAAATTCTATAAATTTATTGATAAATATAATTGGAATCATGGAAAATTATGATGAATAGATTGAGCATTCAAATCGATACGATTCAGTTTATTTCAATATATAAAATGGAAAATTAAAATTTTATTGATAAATATCTATCTTTATATCATATTAATTTTTTCAATTAATTATTTTATATTATCTAAAAATTGAAAAATAATGAAATAATATTTGTAATATTGAAAAAATTATTAACATTTTAATTTAAAAAAAAAAACAATAATATCTTGAGTTTTGAATTTGTTTTTAATTAAGTAAAATCTTTAATAATATATAAAAATAATTTACTTGATTTTTTACATTAGTTGAAATTGTGATATTCAACAATTGAATTATTGTCAAATTTCATTAAATTTATTAATAGTAATATTGACAAATTTTTTTCAAATGATATTACTCAATATATAAAATATAATTATTATTTTATCAATAAAATAATCAAAAAATTAAAAATAAATCATTATTGAAATAATTATAAATCTTTACTAATATAATTAATTAATAATTTATTAATAATTTATTAATAATTTAACAAAAATTTATCATGAAATTGTTTATCAATAATTTTTTAACTATTCATCAAAAATTCAACAATAATTTATTAATAATTTATCAAACAATTTATTCAAAAAATTTATTAACAATTTATCAAACAATTTAATATTACTAATTTAACAAAAATTAATTATCTATTCATTAAAAATTTATTGAAAATTTATTAACAATTTATCAAAAATTTATTAAAAATTGATTAAATTTTTTATTAAATATTTAATAAAATTTGTCAACAATTTATTAATCATTTAATAAAAATATATTAAACTTGTAAAAAAATATATAAATTAAGGTTATATTTATAAATTATTTCTTTTTTTTAATCCACAATCATGCCACAATAACATGTCTTTATTGAGATATTGAAAAATACCTAAATATTTTACTAACTTTCACAAAGTGACTAACTCGTCATTGTAAATTATTAGTTAAAAAACTACACTACTTAAATAATATGAAGAGTCCACTAAACTAGTTCAGACTAAACAAAACTAAGTCTAAACTAGATACTTTAAGTAAGATTTAGGGGATAATATTTCACTTTCCTAGTAGCTTGGCAAAAGTGCTTCTAAGTCAACTAGAGTTATCGGCAACAATTTATCACTGTAGATTATTCTGAAAAATGATAAATAGCTAAAGTTGACATTGATAAATAAAGGGAAATGAGAAATACAAATCAAAGCTCTTTAAAAGGTTCTTACTCTATTTTATAGTTTCCTCTCTAAAGAGATTTATTTGATTGAGATATTCTCTAAACTTTATGACATTTGAGAAACTTAGTTATTCCTGAAAATGACTTCAAGAAGAACATTTGAGGAACTTATCCTTCTTTCAATATATGAATTCGCTTATCACTATTGAGGCCAGCGTCATATTATGAAAAAGTTTGCCTAACCATAATAAAAAAATCTTTTTAAGAACTTTGCTTAACCAGGATAGAAGCTTGAAGACCTCAGCTTTTGTCCAAAAAAACCTTTTCACTATCTGAGAAACTTAATGAGAGATGAGAGTTAAATCTTTTTTTCGTATCCGTTACTCAATTTTTGATATCATAATTGTTTCTTGAAGATTGAACATACACGATTGGAAGGAACACTTTTTCTAAAACTTTTTTTCCTACATCACCAATGATGTATCGAGACATGTGAGTGTGACCAATAAAAACTTGTTTACATTTCAAAAACTGATATGTTTCGTGTCAACCAATCACCTTTGGTGAGGATTTGTACTATCAAAAATTCAGGATCAAACTGAGGTAGGCAAAATTCCCTAGAAAACTATGAAAGCGATAGCTTTAAGAGACCCACAA